CACACACACACACACACACACACACACACACACACACACACACACACACACACACACACACACACACACACACACACACACACACACACACAGTGGGCAAAGCTCTCCCGTCAAGGACAGTATTGACAAAACTCCAGACTGCTCTCAGCAGGATTATATTTGTTTGATTTAAATCAACCAGGACTGAAAACTTAAATTGCCTTTGCAAAGTTTCATTTAACTCCAACAGTTCTCACTTGAAGTGGCTTATTTTTGTTCACTTCACTCTATTTGTTTTTACCCTTTGGAATCACATTCAATACTGAAATAATGAAGAGCCTAAAAACTGATTTGAACTCAGGGCCCTTCTACTTAAAGGGGCCGCAAAATTAGGTATGATTCGAGGTGTTGTAAATCATAAGGTCCCTAACATTTCAAACATTATGGGTCATATCTTTCTACATTTCTTGGAAAGCAGCTTGTTGCAGATATCAGTGACATGAAACCATTACAAATAAGCACTCAGTGATCACACACACACACACACACACACACACACACACACACACACACACACACACACACACACACACACACACACACACACACACACACACACACACACACACAGCTCAGTGGATCAAACATCCATTCTTCTGCTAAATGAATCGCACACGCCATATTTTCCCTGTAATTATCGATTTCTAAGTGGCCTTGCAAGCATCATCAGTCAGAGGCTTCTTCAAGTAGAGCAATTATTATATTACTGTAACCATGGTGATTTATTTGCTGTACGATTTTCCAGTGGAAACGTATTTATGGATGAGAGTGGGCGGAGGATCTGCAAGTGTGTGTGTGTGTGTGTGTGTGCCAGGGGCTAGATCAAAACACACATGAGCCTTGACCTCTGATCTATGCAAAGTTCTGACTATAATCCAGATAAGATAAAAAAATATATATATCGAGCATATGCAGAATTTACAATGAGATGTATAACATTATTGCTTTTCCAAAACTTTTCCAGGGACGTTATGATTATGTTGCTTCTTATTGGCAATACATGAGATTCAGACAAAGATTTTACTGGCAGATATAAAAAAAAAATGACTTATTTATTCCACTAAACTCCGTTTGAATTGTGGCAAATGTTCTGTTTCATAAGAGATTAAAGTCTATTGACCTTTTTGAAGTGACTGTACCTGCTTGATATCTACATGCTTTATTACACTTATAAGTGGGCTACATTAAATGTAATGTATTTGAGCTCTTGAACTCCATTAGTGTATAGACTGCTCCATCTAGCGGCCATTTTTGGTACAGACATGCCTGACAAATGCAGATGTGATTCAAAGCTGGCCATAGACTTCAGTGTTGTCCTACATCAAGCAAGTAGACACAGAAAAGCAGTCTTAAGATGAGGCTGGTATGTCCGTTGAATTATTGTCCATGCACAACCTGCTCTCTTCAAATGCCCCCAGAGATTCAGTTAATCCACCTGTACAAGTCTTTTAATTCTGCCTCTGGATGATCGACCAATAGGAGACAGAACCGGGACACGGAGTTCTAATTAATTATCCTCTTTCTAAGAAGTCTATTGTCTTTTCATCTATGGAACACTTTTTTTTTTAGGATGGTGTGTGCTGGTGATTTCCACATGGCAGTGTTGGAGGGCACGTACTCTCGCTTCAGTTCAGTTCAGGTAGACATTGCCAAACCATTCAAAGCAAATACATGAATAATGTTTTCGAAGACAGTTGTAAAAAATGACATTCAGTGAAGGAATAGTTTGTCAGTGCTTATTTGTGGGAATGTTCATTCAAGTCCCTGCAGGATGTTTCAGTGTTGTTGGTGAGTAATCCTTCTGCAGCAAACTCTTTAGATTTTGTAATATAATGTAAACAAAAATAGTAAGAACATTATGTGTCACATTATTTGAAGGCAGTCATTTCATACAAAGCAAAAGACCCGTAACAAAAATCAACATCTAACCATTTTAATGCACAGTCGTTGAAACTAATGCACAATATACGAAAACAAATCAATTGAACTTTGTTAGGCAGGCGACACCGACGATTAAAAAGCTGCTCTAATACTGGAATGCACAAAAAAACATGAAGTCAACTCAGGTGTGTGTCATGCTTCTTCATTACACACTTCCATAGGCTATAATGTCCAGTGGTCTATGGCAAAGCACTTGCTGAACATCCAAAACATGTAAAAACTGAGTAAGATTCATAATTTTGCAGTTTTCCTTTAATTCCTCTCATGACTATGTATGAAATAAAAAGGGATAGAGTTCAAGGAAGGTTTCAATGTGTGTTGACTAATTAAAAACATTCCCTCTCAGGACACACACACCTCAGTCTTCGGTGTGATGAGCTTACCACCCTCAGCTGGAGGGCCCTCGGCTGCAGGGGCCGACCCCCCGTCAGGCTTCTCAGGGGCCACGCCCGCCATGGTCCTTCTGAAGAGACGCATGCTCATCTGCAGCAGCTCGGTGTCTACCACTGGTGTTGTGGGGTACTGCTTCGTAAGACCCTGAAGAACAAGTTTTAAAACATCTCAATATTTAAATACAGCAGAAATCAACCCAAAGGAGTTGCAGTTATTGGATGACATCTACCTTGTCATTTTTTAACAGCTGGCGGCGGATGGCGAAGTCTCTGCGGGCGCACAGGGCCTTGCAGCAGGGCCCGAGGTTCCTCAGTAATCCGGCCCTCTCCACCCGCCTGTTCAGGGCCGCCATGTTTAAGGCCCCCAGGTCATGCTCAAACAGCTTGTCGGCATCTGGCAGGACAAACATGGCAAGGCATTAGACGCATGGTGATCAAAATGAGTAGTTTAATGCATCTCATGTGTTACCATTTTAAAATAAAGGGAAAATAAGAAAAGCAGAAAGAACAAGGATTAATGATGACGATTTCTCACCTTTAGGGTCGTCCAGCTCAGATCTGCACACCTCCCTGACCTGCTCCAGGAGCTCAGGCCCCGCAAGTCTCTTCGAGATGCCCGCCCGAAGGAGCACGGCCCCTGGGGTGAACCGGAGCAGCGCGGCCCCTGCTGCCCGGGGCTCTGCCTTCTGCTTGGGCATCAGGCTGGACCAGTCCACATCAATGACATCCAGAGGACCTGGAACACATTCATTTAGAAGAGGAACAACTCAGTAACTGTACATTATATTTTAATGTTTATTTACAATATAAACCTCGGATGTCTCAGAAAGGTTTAAATTATTTTGTAATGAAGCAAATCACATATATATTTAGAGGTAAAAGGTAAAAGGCATTATTTCTGCAAAGATAAAAGATATGCATTTCCTGGTACCTGTAACTTTCTCCTCGTCCTGCTGATCCTCTTTCTTCTGGCTGTCAGCAAGGATCTCATCGAGCTCATCATCACTGATGGGTTCATACTCCTCGCCCACAGATGCAACTGACTGGCCATCGTCTTCTTTCCCATCATCGTCTTCTGAACACAGCACAAAAACATTCATTTAAAACAATGTTAGAATTTGGGAAGAAAATATCATAAAATGTTGTTGTTCTCATGTCCTCACCATCGACGCTGTCCGTCTTCTCCGGCTCCCGCTGCTCTCCGATCAGATGGTGGCTGTTGGGTTTCTCCGTCTCTGGAGGGATGAAGGCTTCTTTCGGCAGCAGAGTCTCATACTCGCTCCTCTCCGGTCTGATCATGTCGCCCCGAAGGTCCCCCCTCATATCTCCTCTGAGATCTCCTCTGAGATCTCCTCTGAGATCTCCTCTAAGATCTCCTCTGAGATCCCCTCGTCCCGGCGCCCGGGGGTCCCCATGCGGCGGCAGGTCCATCATCATCCTCTCCCTCTCTCGATCTCCTCTGTCCCGATCCCTCTCTCGCTCATGCTGCTGAATGAGTCCTTCAGGGAGTAAGCGATCCCGGTCCCTGATGTCCCGCTCCCTCAGGAGGGGTTCCCGGCCGGGTCTCATCAGTAGGGGCTCCCGTCCCCTGCCGGGCCAGTCCCTCAGCTCGGGCTCCCAGTCTCTGGGCTGCTGCTGCTGCAGCGGCGGCTGCTGCTGCTGCTGGAGGAGGTGCAGGGGCTGCTGCTGCTGCTGCTGCTGCTGCAGCGGCTGCTGCTGAGGCCGCAGATCCTTCCTGTCTCGCTCAAACGGCTCCCGTTCCCTCTCGCGCTCCCGGCTGTCGTAGGAGCCGGCGCGGGACCTGGACCTGGCCGGCCGCTCGGAGTCTGGAGAGCTGCGTCTGGAGCTGTGGCTGTGGGAGTCCTGCCGGTCTGTGAGACGACAGAGACAAGTCAGTTTGGTGTTTAGTCTACAAGCAGTTTCATGGGAATCTCATTTATTTCTTACGACATAAAGTGTCTTGTTTATCTAATTATTGTCACATGTTTATAGACTCCTGCATTTATTTCAGTTTCTTCTTTTGACTAATGTACCTGAGGAGGTGCTGCGGCTGGGCTCTCCTCTCCTCAGCTGGTCGATACGAGACTTCCTCTCGACCCCCGGGGGCTCGTTCACCACCGGCCTCTCTCTCTCTCTTTCACGCTCTCTGTCCCGAGAGTTGGCGCCCTGCAGCCGGCCCCGACGAGCTCTTGGACCTTGCGGATCTTCTCGATTGGCCGGCTCGTTGGAGGGGGATCTCAGGCGTCTGGACGAGGTGCGGCTCTGGTTGCTCCCCATGCTGCTGCTGCGCGTCTGCTCCGGGGGGAGTTTGCGGAGCAGGGTCTGGGACATGAGGGGCTGCGGAGTCGGCAGCAGGGTGGGAGTCTGGTCTTGGGGCAATAGAGGAGCGATGGGAGGAGGGTTGCCCCGCTCCCTGACCCCTCTGGGACCTGCAGCTTTCTTGAGAGGCTCAACAGGAGCCGGTGGAGCTTTTGTTTCCATGGGGACTCCTCGGTCCGTTACCTCCTCATCTGACCAATCACTGAAATTGTCCATTTTGGACAGAGGAGACGGCTCTTTGTTTCCTGCAGCAGCACGAACATCAGGCCTCATTGAAGGCGGGGGGGTCCGGGGACCTCTCTTCCTCTTATTGTGAGGCTGAGGGGCCGATGACTCTTCCTCAGACACATCAGACTCTCCTTCTCGCGAGCGTTTCCTCTTTCGCTCGAGCGCCTTCTTCTTGGCCCCTTTCCTGGGCGGGGGTACGGGTGGAGGAACTTCTGCCAAGACGCTGGCCGGGGGCTCGGGGTTGAAACGATCTCCTGCAGCAGCCATGGTGTTGCCAACGGCGATGTCATCTTCTTTGCGACCCTTCTTCAGTCCCTTTCTTTGCGACTTGGTCTTCTTTTTGACCTCCTCGTGGACAATGTCGACGCTGACTAGGGCTAGAGGAGGAGGAGGAGGGGGGGGAAGGGAGGAGTGGGCTCTCCGCAGGTCTCTGCCTCTTGCTTCGAGAGTCAGACGCGGTCAGCGAGGGGGTTCTCCTCGTCTGTCGGCCCTCCTGCTCGCGTTCCACGCGAGGCTGTGTTCCTCGTGGCGGCTGCCCGCGAAGTTTCCCTTTTCTCCCGGCTCCTCTGCGCTCCTCTCCTCCTTCAGTGACTCGGTTTCTCCTCAGACACAGGAAGGCCACCGGCCCGGAGTGCGCAGCAAAAGGAATCGCTGGGGCGCACCACCTGGCTCGGCACACGGTTCTTCCTCCTTGAACCTGGAAAATTAACCAAAACCACATCAGTATCCTTTTTTCAGACTACAGCAATCAACAGCCTTAGGCGCGTTCACACCGCAGTACTTTTCCACAAAGGTTCCTGAGAACTCTTTAGTCCTCAGGAAACTAAGTTCAGATCGCGTTCACACCCGGAAATAAGTTCCCTGAGAGAGGATTAGGGCAAATGAAGCCCGCTTGACGTCAATTCTTCTTCTTCTACTTTGGGTTTACTGCAAAGCATCAAACCACTTCACGGCGTTAATACTGCCGCCCAAAGTCCCCGGCCCGGAGTTCCGGATTGGGGTAAATCGCCAGAAACGCGAACTCCTCATCTCCACCGCTCCCTGTTTTAAATTTTGTGTTGGCCATAAAGTTTAGTCTCTTTGCGTTCGCCGCTGGGCAATGCTACTGCTAAATTAATGCTAGATGCTAATAACTGCAATGGCGAGGATTAAATAAAATGGCGGCTTCACAAAACTTTTTGTGGGAGTTTTAGCGGGGCGTGGTTTCAAATCCGCAGGCAATCAGAAAATCAGGACCTTTTCTCCCCACGAAAGTACCTGCTCTCTAGCAGGGACTCGAAAACTGACGGATAAAGGGGGTAAAAAGATTCTCCATTAACTAATTTATTTCCGGCTCTTCTTGGTGTGAAACGCAACAATTTCGGAACTATATCGGAACTAAAGTGGTGAAAAGTACCTGCGGTGTGAAGCGCGCCTCTTGACTCTTGGGTGAACCATTGGAAGTAACTAATGTGTGATATTAGCTATACAAGAATTAACAGTGCAATGTTTAAAGATGGCCTTTCCACAATCAAACGAGAAAGTGTGTTCCCTACTCGTCAGAGGATTGCCGGCC